AGATCTGGCCCCGGTCTTAGCTTGACAACTAACCACTTAGCATCAGTGATTCAGCCGTAATGCAACCTGAGGGTGCTCTCCTTGAATATCCCGAAGAGCTCCCCAAAATGGTAGCTCCATCTGGGGAAAAGTAGCTCGAGTTTGGCGCATAAAACCCTCCATCGGCAAGGGGTTCGTTTGGAATATCGAAAGACAAACTGCACATACATCAAGTCTACCCTCTCTTATCATCCGCAACCCTGGCCTGGCTTCATAGTCATCGTCTAAGAAACGTAATCCTCCAGAACAGAACATACATTACCAAAATGAGCTACCCAACTGCCCACAACACGCAAGTCCAGAACCCTCGTCTGAGGCTTCTGAATAAGCTCAGATCAGGGGAGTACCCCCTGATGACCTTTGTGGCCATCCCGTCAGTGCGCCAGGCTCAAATTGTCGCCCTGACTGGTCTTGACGGCATCATTATCGATGCCGAGCACGGTCACATTGGCGACGACTCCATGCACAACTCAGTCGCCGCCATCTCATCCCTGGGCGTCTCCCCCATCATCCGTATCCGCGGACCTGCCCACGATATCATCAAGCGCGCCCTTGACACCGGTGCCCACGGTATCATGGTCCCACAAATCAACAATGCTCAGGAAGCCGCCCAGATTGTGGCTTCCTCCAAGTTCCCCCCACAGGGTGTGCGTGGACAGGGCTCGGCTTTCCCAGCTATCGGGCACGGCCTGACCACACCCGAGTACATGAAGTCGGCAAACGAGACCATTCTCACAATGATTCAGATCGAGACCCGCGAGGGCGTCGAGAACGTGGACGCCATTGCGGCCACTCCCGGCGTGGATCTAGTCTTCATCGGACCCAATGATCTGGCTCAGTCGCTCTTGGGATATACGCCCGCACGTGGGGACGAGCCTGAATTCATCGCTGCAGTTGATAAGATCATCGCTGCGGCGAGGAAACATGGCAAGTGGGCTGGGCGTATGGTGAACAACGGCACGGTGGCTAAGGAGGAGCGCCCAAGATACGACACCGTGGCTATCACCGGAGACACTAAGGCCATTCAGAACTGGTACATCTCTGAGTTTGAGATTGCGAGGTCATAGATAAATGAAGAAAGGGGGACGGTGGAAAATGTTTGAAATTGCATGGCGCCACTTAGATTTATAGACGAGTAGGATCACATTGTTCTTTAAGCACCGAAAGATACGTGTGGGGACTTTTATCTTTTACTTCTTTTTACAGTTCAATGTTACCGATCTGCTGATCATTTGTGGCCTGATTCTTTCCCAGTGATGACATCCTTACCGGTTCGTGAAGCACTCTAAGGCTAAAGGAGTGTCCATTATGTCTGTTCATGGTACATGTACCTTGGGCACACGCCTCTGATAACCAGATTATGCGTTCGCCATGTCAGTCTATGAATGAATCCAGGAAAGTTACCCGATTATAAGTCACCTGAAAGTGTCCGTGCTACATTCATGTCCTTGCATCTACTTATCCTTTGGCAATGAAGCATACACATGTGCTCAAAGGGAGATTATGACATCGGAGGACTGTGCTTCACCAAAACGAAGGTTAGGCTACTCCAAACGGCACACCCCGGAATCTCGTAAAAGGGGGTGTACAGAAGAGTGTGTACTTGATCTTAGAGGGCTGTGCTTAAGGGACGCCAAGACAACCTATTAAAATAGTCGCGTCCGGAGTAAAGGGAGGGTACAGAAGGAGAATAGCACCGGAGTACCGTAGATTCAGGAGTCTTTATCGTATACATTCTATTTATATTTGACTAGTCTATTCCTTCGTACAACGGCCCGCATTTATACCTGAGCAATGCACTCAATCTCAATAACGGTACCATCACCGGGGGGCAGGGCCTGGAGGCAAGAGCGCGAAGGCATGGGCTTGGGGAGGAACTCAATGTAAACCTCGTTCATGGCAGCAAAGTCCTTCATGTCGGCAAGGTAGACATTGTACTTGACGACCTGCTCGAGAGAAGATCCCGAGAGCTCGAGAACTTCCTTGAGGTTCTGCAGGACGGTTCTCTGTTCGATCAAAAATGCGTTAGTCATCTAGAATCTCAGATCAAGGGAGATTTACACCTACAGTAGCCTGCTTGATCTCTCCGGTGGCCGTCTGACCTGCAAGGAAGACAAGGCCAGGAACCTTAGTAGCAGGGCCTATATGAAATAGTCAGAAACAGTTATGTCTACGGGGATAGCTTCTCCCCGCAAGATCTTGGCTCATCGAGAACCGGATCAAGGGAAACATACAGTTGTGAGGCTTGGGAGGGAACTTTTCACTGGAGATGAGTTCGCGAGACATGGTTGCTGATTGGGGCGGGTTGAATTGTGATGGTGTGGTGGTGTGAGTTTATTGTTTTGTTTCGTGCAAAGATACAAGAATTAGCTGAGATGTGCTTGATAATGAGATGACCCCTGGCAAATAATTACTATTGTTGTAGCCTTTTAAGATGCCGAGATCTGGTGAGCTTTTCGCGTGAGCTGGGGGGAGGAGTGGGAGGAGCTCCCCCATGCCAGGTTGCCACCCAGTCTCCGCAGGGGTCTTCACGCTTCATGACTCGAAACGGGTGCTCCCTAGCTTATCGGGAGGAGGTTTCCAGGGTGCGGGTTGATGGACGGAGGAGCTCCTCCCATCTGTCTCCACACCGGGCAGGCCGGTGGATGTCTGCTAATTACCCCAGATGGATCGATAACGCGGACGATCGAGTATCAAGATCAGACTGACGTGTCGTGATACGAATTAGCGAGAGTGAGCTCTTATCTCGTGACAAGGGGCGGAACCGAAGGTTTGGCATAAGGAGGGTAACTGGGTGGACCTTGCTGAACGACCGTGGGGAGAAGAGCACACCCCACAGACAAGACTTAGCAAAAGCAATGACACTTATGGGTCCAGGTGAGCAGGTGGCGATCGGAGGAGATTGAGCTCTTGGGAATGAATCTAGAGCTTGCCTTTCTCGGCCAACTCTGGCTTCCGCACTATGGAGACGGAGCCCGCTTAGAGGAGCCAGCTCTGGCAGTCACTGGGATCATACGTTTGCACTACTCTTCCATTAGTTGCGCACCTGACATAGGGCACCTAAGATAAAAGGGCTGTTTGGCCTCCATGAAGCCCCGAACTAGCATCACTCACAACCATTCAGATGATTCCAAGCCTATCAACGACCCATCCCCAACACTAAGACTACTCTCAATCATTCCTCTATCTGATCTTCCTGGACATTATGGCACCCAGCGCCCCCTTTAACCCCCCGGCTGCTGACCTCCCTGGCAAGCCCCATGTACCTGAATGGGTCCCTCCTCCTGTTACCCAGCAAAAGGAGAACTTTGCTGAACTTACCTCCATTGACCTTTCCCTCCTCGACTCTGATGACCCTGCTGTCGTTGACGATCTTATCAAGCAAGTCAAGCGAGCGATCCGTGAGGATGGTTTCCTTTTCCTTGAGAACTACGGTATCTCGTTGGAGCAGGTAAGTTTGACGTGGAAAAACAACGCATTAACATCGTCTTCCTAACTTTCCGTTCCCTCACAGCTTCACCGACAGTTTGCCATTGCCCAGTACTTGTACAACAACATCAGTGAGGAAGATAAGCAGCGTCTACTCTTCAGCCCCGAGACCGGTGTATGGTCCGGCTACAAGCACCCATATGGATTCAAGGTACGACACAATCCTTGGCCACACTCGTAAATTTCCCCGCTAACTTGCCCTTTGAATCCAGCGCGCAAAGGGCCCCGCCGATGGCATCCAGCAGTTTAACTGGTACAAGTCCGACTGGGACAACCTCAGCGAACGCGTTCCCACTTGCCTCCTACCATTCATGGACGAAATCGAGGCGTTTTGCAACTACCTCACAAAATCTGTCAACCGTAGACTGCTCACACTCTTCTCCCGCGTTCTCGAGCTTCCAGACGACTACCTCTGGGACAATGTGCAGTCTCATGGCAGCCCTACTGGCGAAGGATATTTCCGCCACGCTCTTTTCCGTCCTGTGAAGAAGGAGACGGAGGAGGCATCCAAAGGAAACCGAAGGTGAGTTGCTATTCCCCTTTATTGGAAGTTATCATGATGCTAACTAAATCGTGTAACAGTAAGATACACTTTCATCCGCGACTTTCGAAGACGATATAAAACTAACACAGATTTCTCACTAAAGTGCTTGCCCACTCGGACTTTGGTCTGACCACTCAGCTGTTTTCTGTGCCTGTATCTTGCCTCCAGATCTGGGGCAAGGATGAGCAGTGGTACTATGTTCCTTACAGACCCGGTGCGTTGGTCATCAACATCGGAGACACCCTCGAAATCGTTTCCGGAGGACACTTCAAGGCTACCCTTCACAGAGTCTTCAAGCCTCCTGCCGACCAGCTTCATCTGGAACGTTTGTCATTGGTATTGTTCAACAGCTCCGTCGGTGACCTCCAGATGGGTCCTGCTATGGGTAAGAAAATCCACCTCCAGAGTCTTTTGAAATTTACTTACTAACCTATTCTGCAGAGTCTCCTCTGATTCAGCGAGAAGGCTGTGTGGATGAGCAGGGCGTCTACCGAGAATTCAAGAAACGTATGGACAAGGTGGGCAAGGTGCCCACTAACAAAGAGTGGCGCGAGATTCAGATTGCGACTTGCGCAGACCCTACCGACAGCAGCCGCAACCGTGTGGGTGTCCATCAGGCTATTATTGATGGCAAGGTGATGCATCAGCGAGAGTACATGGGAGTAAAGGTTGTTCTTCCTGTCTAAATAAAATCTTTACAAGCGGTGCGGTGGGCGATCTTCCAGACAACCAATCCAGCTAAATGGGGGTTTGCCTGTGTGGAAGCATGATATTATTAGTTTTAGCATATGTCCCGGACTGACGAAATTTACGCAATATTCATTTATTTTAGTGCTATCTACTGGTTGCCTTACATCAATGTGACTGGGTTGCATTAGAGTCTACTTCAAGACTTGTCCAAAGTCTCGAGTCGACATGGAAACACGCTTCATTCTCCGATTTCATAGGACCGCACTGACTGTGTTTGCTCAGGCTGCTCAAACCGATGTCGATCTAGCAAGACCACCACATCAATGTGGCCCTCCTCATCGATGAGCGCAGGATAACTCTCGCAAAATGGCAACAACAAGTCATTAGAGCAGTGAGTACATTTTCCCTCCTCAAGAAGGCTGAAGTACCACTGTCCATGGGGCCTTACAGACCAGTCATTTCGAGCGTGGCCTTCCATGCATTTTGTGGCTTGGAGACTCGCAAGCTGATGCAAAACTGCAGAATAAAGAGCGAGGATCGTCCCCGAGGTTACGTAAAAGGGATGACCTGCCTCCGGGCGTCGCACACGGGAACCCAGATCCGGTCTCCACCACATTGTGTCTTCAGCATCCTTGAACCGATCCCAATCCAAGCCATCCGGAACCTGGGTGAAGCTCAGTCGACTTCCAAGTACACACTTTTCAATATCCCCAAGTCTTGCAGCAACATGGCTGTACCGGTATGCGCTCTTTACCTCTCCGAGACCAGGCTTTTCCAACAGAGACTTTGACGGATCGGAACCGAGAACGAAAATAAAAGAACTTCGCCCACTATGTTGATCCTTAAAGATATTTCCACAAAGTGATCCACCCTTAAAGGATGGGTAGAAGAGAGGAACGTCGCCAAGGCTGGCTAGTTGCTTCTCCGGGGCTTGTTGTTTCGTCCTGATAGTAGCCCGACGTGTCAACACGACTTGGCGACTCAAGCGGCACACAGAGAGAAGAGTCAACGCTGCGTGATCATCGAAAGCACTAGATGGTGGCTCATCCGGCTGTATCATCATCTTTCTCAATGAACTCGTCCAGGAGTCACCAGGGCGAGTGAAATGTGACCTATGAGTCATGCTCATGATTCTCAGACTCGTGTCATAACCAGAATCTGCGGTTCCTGCCGCGAGCCCACTGGGAGGGGGGTGGCTATCCAAGGTCCCCGGCACCCCAGTTGGAAGCTTGTAAGGGATTAGGCCGACAGGGTCGTTTGCGCCGAGTTTTGGTATCGGGCAGATGGGTGCAAGGAGAGACATCTCATTGTCGGGCCACTGAGCCCATAAGAGGCTGGATTCACCTATGGCGAGCTCCCATATTAGGCTTTGGATCTCGGTAGGGAGATCTGGAAATTGCGGGAAAATGCCAACGGCGGGCAGATCCAAGGTCTTCTTGCTAGACATAGGCGTAGGTTCTTCTTGAAGCTCAAGGCCTGGTGATTCCTCGTTTATCGCTATTGTCTTTTCCTTTCTCTTGGGATTTCAAACATTACACGATAAACAATTGGTAGGTATACGTTAGAAGGAAATCTCCGCATTGGCGAAGGGAGGCTGTTGCTGGTAACGACAATTTTAGAAAAGGCTACAGTGAAGTATGGTCATAGACAGATATTAGTGGAAGCAAGATGAAGATAAGTATGTATGAATTAATAATCATGAACAGCCCGATGCTCTATGAGACCGTCATATTGATGATGATTTCAGACGCGGCTCGTCAAGTTAACGTAAGCGCAACAAAGATGAGAGCAGCACTTATGTATACAGGGGCTTTTTCGCCAGGGACAAAAACTCAGCTCGATAGGCAAATCTGCGCACATTTAACCTAAACCAGTTAGTCAATCATTAATATATAATAATGGGGGTGGCTTTCAACCAATCCGTCCGGGTAACTTTGCATCCGGCAAACAGCCCCCGCGTCTCTAGCAGGGCAGCCTGGCTCTTTATTAGGAGAGTTGAACGAACTGCCTTGCTTCAGATAGATTGGCAGGGCCAGGCCAACTGAGTTGGGGGCCTCTACCGCGCGCCACACCTCCACAGCCTGTCAGCATTTGCTGGCTAGGCGCCCGTCAGACCGAGGAACAAGGCTGCACTGATCGTAAGCTGGCACCATCGTGTCGCTTAACGCCGCGAGACATAGATAATAGCCGCGAGGAGCTTCATTTGCCGCCAGCATCTTACGTGACCTCATGGCAGGCTCGTTCCGATCAGCTGGGACAGGGCTGTTCAAGGATTAGGCAGCGAAGTTATTGAAGCTAGCGGAGGATTCCGCCATATGATTCTTGTTTCCGCGATGACAGGGATCCTGAATCAGTCATTCTTTGTTAACATGGACAAGGATGTAAGCCAAGGCCGCCTCATTGTGGGTATTGGGAATATTGCCTTTCGGTTGGAGTTCGATTCGGTATTTCGCCGTATCCTCGTCGTTCGCTGCGAACCGATCTAGATTGTAGCCAGAACTGAACAAGTGTCCAATCAACGAGCTGTGGTTCGACTTTTATTCCTTTTGCCTCCTGAAACGTGCATGGAGAGTTAATATATTTCAGTGGACCGGAGAGAAACAAAGACCGGGATGCCCTCAAGCCCTCAAAGAAGGGAAACTGCCCAATTTAGTAGCTCGTCGGCCATATTATTGGATCCATCACAGCGAAGTGGGAGTCTGAGCTCACGGGAACATGTAGGTCTATTAGGAAGCAACATATATCACGTACTATGCAATAAGCGAATGCTATGACGTGCAGAGTTGAGATACATATGAGAGTCAATTACCGGCCGTAGGCACACGGGATATTCGGTGCGACAGTCTGCAAAATGTCGCTCTCCTCTCCCTGCCAATCCTGAATGAAGGTGTATCTCGGCGTAAACCACCACGCCAGTTGCTAATAAAAGGTCAGTAGCCATCTACACATACGCTGGGAGTTGACTTACCGAGCCGAAACTGCTCCAAGTGAATCTTGGTCTGCCAGGGGCAAGATCTGGCGATGCGGCGACGACAATGTCCTCCACGTAGCGTTTCAGAGGTTCAGGCGCTGCTGAGTAGATGAAAGTTAGAGGTTGGAGAGGACCTTGGCGGTGGCTGTAGATGCTAGAGATGGTATCCAGGCGGACAGGATCCCACATTCCAAGAGTCTCAATGATGCCTCTCTCTCGCTCTACACACATCCCTATGCAGCGGTCTCCAAACTTCTGGACCTTGAGCGTGATGACGTTCAGCAGCGTGGTTCTACTGAGAAATGCAGCAAAGGGATATACACTAGGAAACATTAATGGCTCAGCATCGCGACGATACGTTGGAACACGAAGCCCAGCCTGTTCTAAACCGGGCAGCGAACTCCCTAGACACACGCCAAGGGTGTTGATTTTCCCCGGGTTGATGTTAGTTGGGTCGATGAAGAGCCCCAAGATTTCTCGAATCCCCTCGGGTTCGAAGGATGAAACATGGAGAGGCTGTAGAAAGGGCAGTACAAATGTGCCGAAATACAGAGTCCGTGATTTCGAAGTCCGAACCTATTGTTGTTAGGCACGACTGCCCAGATACTCTGGGACGGGTTGACTTACAAGAAGGAAAGGGCCTTTCCAGACCATTGGTCGATCAGGGCCCCTTGTTATCAAATGAATCGACGTCATTCGTTCACCCGGCCGAAAGAATCGGGTAACTGGGAAGTTCTCTTCGTCTCTAGCCGATGGTTTAATTGCTACACGATCGCCCAGCTCCAATTTAGGGCCGCCCCCATTTATTTGAATTTTGTAAATGGCTTCGATGTTGCAAACCACCGTTAAACTTTGGATCTCAATGTGGGATAAATCAAGGTACTGTGCTAGACGTGCGCTGGGGTTGCCGAGGATCTGAGTACCTGGAATCTTCATATCTGCAAGCAAATATTTGGCTCTGGGAGGTAAGACCTTATCGTGGTCGAAAAACAAGTGAGCCAAGTTAGTCGGCGGTTGCGAAACTTCCCCGTTAGTAAACCCAACGCTTATCAGTTTGAATCCCTACACACATCAGCATATATCAAATTTGTCTCAAATAAACTGTGGACTCACATCAGATGCAGTGCGAAGCTTAGTGAGATCATCACCCTTGTACGTAGCGGTCCATTTCCTAGGTCCAAAGCCCAGCCAGGATGACGTTGTGTTGTCCTGATAAATGACTCGAAGGGCAACGACTCCATAAGTTCCGAGTGATACTTGTATTCCATAGACAGGTTTATCCTGCAGAGCGATATCTTGTTCATAATTTGAGGCGTTATCTGACCCAATATTTGTCAAGCATTCTTCACCAAGGATAATTGTAGAGGTGGCACGGAGGAATTTCACTGAATGATGTGGGACTGGGTTGATAACGACTCCTCTATCGGGCCCGGCGTTTTCATCTAGTTCATTCAATGTAAATGAGGCCCCGGCAAGGAAACGGAAGAGGCCTGAGACGTTTCTGTAGATGAGCCCTTGTAACTCCACGGGTAAGGATTTTCTTATTGTTTCCACCAGCTGTCCTAATTCTGTTGTAGTTGATAGTCCAGCAGGAAGAGTTGGCCGAGAACTAGTGCCATTGAGAGGTCTTGATAAGTACCAAGACATGAGGGGACGGGTGCGCTGTATGAGCCGCCGAAGGGAGCTTCTGGAATATCCGGGTAGGGTTTTTGCGAGCTCTAGGCATTGGACATGTGTGAAGTGCAAAGTATCCAGAAGATTACAGCTCGTGCAGATCATGAAATCGAAACAAATATAAACCTTGGCATTCTCAGCTAACCCGAACAAGTTGGCACATTGCAACTCAAGGATAGATTTCCAGGCTGGTTTTCGAAGGTTTGTTTGGATAGTGATCATTTGAGACGACTCCAAGTTCACCGGCCGTGATTCAAATCCTGGCAGCATAACTCAATCACTTGAACTATATGTCGCAGGTTCGGGGTGGTTAAGATCCCTGCTTACCACAGATAAATTGAAATGCCCAGTCATTCTGCTCATCTGCCTCTAGCTCCTGGCCGCCCAATCTTTGACAGATTGTGCCTATAGGGAGTGAACAGCGACAGAGCGAGCAAAAGGGCTCTGCTCGTATATGCCGCCCCATGAGGATCAAATAAATGCACCAAGCGAAAAGGCGTAGGATATTGGCGGGTACGTGGATACGTGGAAACGCGTTGTGGACATTCCCTTAAGGAATGTAGCCTTTGCACATCTGCCCGCGCTAAAGTGAGGATTGCTGTTCATGCGCTACCGGTGAGATGACTAGGGTGATTGAAGCACACCGACATCCATGATGCGCGAGCAAGGGCGATGGAGACGATTGATGATGCTGAGTGACAGTTGGTGATTGACATTGGACACGTGAGTGAGGCATTTCTGCCACCTCAGTCAAGAAATTCTGCCTACCCTATAACCATCACCTGTGTGAGCTTCACTCGGGTTTTAAGACTTAACACAACAGCTTTTCTCGTAGAGCTCGCTGCCTATTCTTGATAAAAATGATCCAGGCATTTCATGTCATTTCTTTCATTGGTTTATTTTTCCTCGCTTTTCGGTGGCTATCAGGTTAACAATCTTTTATGTTATGGTGGTTACCGTGCGGTTAACGAAACCTTCTACCAAACTTGAACCGTTTGTTTGTATTTTCACTGTTTTTCTTCTTCTTCACAAATGTACTGTTCTCTATTAGGAATTATGTGAAGATTAACATCTAGAGTATGTAAGAAATGCACAAAGATGAGGGGAAATGCATGAATGTCTCAGTTGTTGACGTAATGATGCAGCCACCAGGCGTCAGCCGTAAATCTTCTCACCTCATAAATCTTTTCTTTTTCCTCTCTCTTCTTTTTTCCTTTTATCTCATAGAGCAGCACCAGTCTACAAGAGAAAACTAGAAATCCAAAGCTCAATCCAAATTTGATAAGCCTACACTTGAAATCAATCATGGTTATGGTAAAAGACCTCCCGATGGAGGTCCTCCTCCATATGCTTTCCTTTCTGCACATTCTGACCATCGAGCGGGTCGCCAAAACCTTCACGCACCCCCTGACCGACCTTTGCCTCCCCATACTCGAGCCAGTTCTCCAGAAACGGAGGGAGAAAGCTCGGTTCATAGCACGGTTCGGAATGATCTCCAACATCTCCACTGACGACACTGTGAGCTATCTTAATACTTCAAAATGTCGCCTGCCTATTCAGATCTCCCTAAAGGCCACCGTCCGCAGCCAGCCGGAGATCGCTGATGCCTTGGACACTCTTGTCCTTCGTGGGGATTTGGGTTGGTTGAAACCCCTCAACCCAGCGATGACTTCACAGATGAACCGCGTGTTTGAGCACTCGCCGCCCACTGAGGAGTGGGATACGACCTACGATGACCTTCTCGAGGCTGCAGAGCTAGCTGGAATTACCATCCCGCCAATCTTCCTCAAGTTCATCCGTGACCCGGAGCTGATGAAGCGAATATATACGCATAGTCATACCAACACGATGGGGTTTCGCTTCCAGGAACCGCTGCTCGTAGAGGATCAGGGGGGCTATTTCCTTCCCTTCTACTATGACAACAGTCAACAGAGGGCACAGACAGGGTTGTACATTGAGCCAGGAAAGGATGGGCACTATTGTGTGCTCTCTCAGGTTAAGCCGGATGCACCCCGAGGGAGCCTTGTCTATGGCCCAGAATGTGAGAAACCAGAGACACGCTTCTATCCCAACCACGAATGCTGGCTGGAAGAAACGGATTTTGAAGCTTTCTTGCTTAACATGTATTATACTAAATTGTTGAGCGAAATACATTTTCGCGGAAAAGGTCCGAACGCGCCTGAACCGCCTGAGGAATTGAAGGACTTTATGAGGGAAATATACATTCGAAAGGACAGTGAATAGACGAGGAAGGTTGCACACCTGTGCGAGGTGGCCAAGTCGCATGTGGTTCGAAATGGCTCCCTTCTAGCTGTCTGGGCCATCCCGGCTCGTTTTCTTTCTTAAATGGCATGGAAGGGGGATGTCCAGGTTTGATGTGAAGCTTCGGGAATTCATTACATCGTATAATGCAAACCAAATGTGATATATTTATAAGAGAGAGGAAACACAGAGAAACTAACTGTGTAGGAGCTGCTTTCTTATTTACATAACTTACATGCTTAATGGTTTCGTTACGTTTATCAAAGATTCACGAAGACATCACGGAAGTCTCTTTGTCATGTTTTCCCGTATGTGTTGAGAGGATGGAAGTAGCCTACGAAAAAGATTCACCTGCTTAACCGCTATGATCAAATATTACACTACTGGTAAGATGGTAGCTCGTCGACCCGTGAAGCTGAGATCAAGGCAATGTTACGTTGTAGAAAGGAGCGGTGTAAGACCGAAGAAGTGTGCCGTTGTGAATAAGTGAAGGGCGACCCAATAATGCGCAAACATACGCGCTTTACCCGGGTTCTTGACATAAGACGTGCAGACTACTTACACTTAATCCACTGCGGGTAACATGCTCATCCCTAATCGGTGGCTTTCTGGAGTTTTTGTCAGGAAAATTCTGCCGAGGGTTGCCATAGTGGATGTACCATATTGGTGGCGGCATTTGCCTCTGACTGGTAACCAAGGAGTTTATCTAAGGACAACATCTGCCCTCGGTATATGCTGGTAATAATGTCACGAGGGAATCCTTCTGTGTGATAGGTCCTTGTACGATATCGGCCCGACCCTATCCTTGGCGGTTAGTCTGGGGAAGCTGGTTCTGTCCACGCTGATGGAATATGCACGATGATCAAGTTTGGGGGTAAGCCAAAGTAGCGCTCTTAAATGGGCCGAAGTCGAAACTGCACGTGTGATGATTGGGGGCTAGATCACTGCCAGGGGTAGTGTTCGACCGTGCCTGAATCCCGCGGCAGCGATTATTTGAGATTCCAAAGTCGGTTCGTTGCTGAGTTTCTATTCGGGTTGGAGGATCTCGGCCGACCATGTCATAACAAGGGAGTTTTACTTGAATTATGCCAATTTTGAGTCAAGGCACAAAGCTGTAATAATGAGAGTTTAGGAGATGACACCACTCTCCTTTCACCAGTTGTCTCCTGAGTCAGACTCCGGGTCTCCGCCTGGAGGCTTGGCCGGACTGGGTCGGAATTTATCATGCTTTGTTCGTTGGTGTTTGATTTAAGTCCCTTTACAAGTCCCATAAAATTCCAACCACGTCGTATGATCTGCGAGGGCTAGCATGATGATCAGGGTAGGATGCCCCTCATCATTGATGTGCCGCGCGGGATAGCTTCAACCGTTGAAGCCACGGATTCTCTGCTATCCCCGCACTTCTTCTGCCGCTTACTTATTCTTGTTTCACACCTCTTCCTTTAAGGCCTAACACTAACACAGCCGTAGAGAGATTCAGGGGTGATGGGATGAACCAGCTTTGGATCGCCCGCGATATCTCCGAACTGCCTGAACTGGCCAACGGCCTCTTCTATTATTCGCCCAATGCCTGGGTGGGGTGCCTAGATGGAACTGGTGTGACCCCCATCATGCCATTGAAGGTCACTTTCCTAGTTCGTCTAGGAGGCCACGAGGGTGTTCCTGATCACCTTCCACTTTATTCCTGTCAAGGCTGCCAATGGGAATCAGGTTCGGCCACACGTAATACCAGTCCTCGACCAATCCGGGAGGATGTTCAGCGTGTAAGGCTGACCTACCATTACTGCGCCGGAGTCTCACATAGCGGTCACTCTCTACGGCCTGCTTGCATCCTGGCTTGAGATTTGAGGGTTTATCCATTGGCCACCAACGTCAGCTTTCCATTCACCCTAGTAACGTCACATTACTCTATCAGGAATCTCAATCAGATAGACGGGTCAGGTGTTTTATGCTAGGCGGGGGCTTCTCGGGTAAGGCAATGATGAATTGTGCTCAAATGAAACGCTGTCATGAGATGGTAGAATGCCGAATGAATTCACGTAGTCAGACATTGATATTTAAACACTGAGGTCTCCTCCAGAGTTTCTCATCTCTCAACTCGCTTCAACAGGCACACACTCCTTGGCTATCTTGTTGAACGTGGACCATAGTCAATCCTTCTTACAGTCCACATTCTGTAGAATCTACCATGAGGTTCTCTACGCTTCTGTCGGCCGTGGTGGGCTTCACAGCCACTGCTTCTGCCAAGCCAATCAGTATCGATATCACAAAGAACCTGATCCGAGACAACAACGGCTACACAGAAGTGGCTCCCGTTGATATTACAGAGGTTGTCATCACCAAAGACAACACTCTGAACGGCACCCACACCGGGGACGAGCTCATCACTCGCCCTCCCACCGAGCCGGACCAGCAATCCATCCAGGCAGTCGATGCTGTTGTGGCCACACTCCCTCTCCAGTTCACCAACAACTTTGGCAGCGCTGTCAATGCCTACGTAGTCGGATATGACTCCAACTCGGCTGTTGTTTTTGTTCGTCAGGATGGTAGCCTTGTTTACCCAAGTTCGGGCGGCTCAGCCGTCCCTGTCCCCATCACCACAAACGTCAAGATCCCAGTTGCTGCCGGCCAAGTGGCTACCATGAGAATCCCCATTGCCATGCACTCGACGCGCATTTACTTCTCTGTTGGCGACTTGAACTTTGGTGTTGTCAAGACTGATATCGGAGAAGGCCTAGTCCAGCCTGACGAGAAGAACCCAACAGACCCCAGCTCTAAGCTCAACTGGGGATTTGTCGAGCTTACACTCAATCCTGATGGTAGCCTGTTTGCTAACATTAGCTATGTGGACTTCATGGGTCTACCCCTTGGAATGAAACTCGATGTCAACGGTGGTTCCGCCCAGACTGCATACGGTCTCAAGGCCAACTCCGTCAACTCTGCTTGCAGCGATCTCTCGGCCCAGCAAGCGCAGGATGGAGCTCCCTGGGCTGCCCTTTGCCAGTCCAACGCTGGCGGCCTCATTCGAGTTATCTCTCCCAACTCATATTCCGTGACCAACCCCAACGGGTTCGGCACGTATTGGGATAACTACATCAACCAGGTCTGGAGCAAGTACAGCAACGAGCCCCTGATTATCGATACCCAGGCCGGATTCGGCAAGCTGAACTGCCGCGTGTCTGGCAACCAAATGACCTGCGACGGTGGTGACAACCGTGCCTACCCCAAGCCCACTGCTCTCGATATCTGGGGCTGCAACAGCGGTCCCTTTGCCAGGCAGGCGAGCGATAACGAGCAGCATGTTCGCGTTATCCCCCGTCTCTGCTCTGCTTTCGTCCGCAGCACTCTTCTCCTGGCGGGTGGCAATGTCCAGCCAAGCCTCCCACAAAGCACCTACTACTCTGTGAACCCATCCAACCACTACGGCCGCCTGGTGCACAAGTACGAGATTGACGGCAAGGGATACGCCTTCCCTTATGATGATGTCAACCCCACGGGAAGCGAGAACGCTGAGGGTTCTGTTTCTCATGGCTCGCCCAACCTTCTCACCATCTACATCGGTGGCCAGTAAATGATTTTAGGTTGAATGTATATAGTGCCGCCCTTACATAGGAAGAACCAAAATGAAGATGTATATATGATGTCCCTTAATGATCGAACATGCAGTAAGATGCTATAACAAAGGGAAATAAGCCTGGTCTAACACAATAGGAACACATGACGTTGACCGCATCCCAGGCATCAACAACACAATTCATCCTAACAATAAATTTAGAGTGCACGTTGTCTCCCAACAGTGGAAGGCGACTGGAACTGGCCGGTCAAACTTTAGAGCCCCCTGGGGCTGTTGCCCATGTGACTTGATAACCTTCAATGTAGTAACTTGAGCGTGGCAAACGAAGCCAGTTTACTTTAAACCGCTCTTTTCATTTGCCAGGGCCAACGCACAGTGAAAATAAAATTCTAGACTTGACGAGCCACGAGTTTATTTGGCATGATCGTGGCGCGCCACTGTCAGTAGAACTCAAAATAGAATTCCGCCCGACGGTATGACACAGTTCACAACAAGACACCGTGATGGGCTAGAAATAATGGAATAATTCTGGTTTGGTATAAAGTCTGAGAGCCCGCGCAATCTAGCCGTTCCTTTTCTGTCAGTTCATACTCTCCCGTCCAATATTCGGTTGCACATCTCTCCCTTACTGGCGCACCATTCTATTTCGTCTTGACCTTGACTTCAGCGGTACACTCACACGCGGCATAATGATTTGGCTACTTGCCCTCGAGTGGACACTAGCAAGCATAGCTGTTGGCTGTCTTATAGTCTCCATCATATGCTGTATTTGCTGTCTTCGGAGAACTATATGGGCAAGACCGCGTCGGCAGGAGGATCACACAATGCCGGATGCATCATCCGAAGAGCAAGGCAGAGTCACTGGCACGACTCCCTCACCAGTTGAACTATAGCCGCCACCGTTTGCCTTTCTCGGGGCCTTCCATGGGGTGTGAGGCAGGATATACGCGATGCCCTAAGACAACACTCATTTGTGTCGACGACTTTAGTCAAATCTTCACCAAATCATGATTTTGTACCCTCAAGATCAAACGGCCGACCTCCCAATTTCTATTCAGCGAAACCACCTCGCCGAATCGCACAAACGACCATAAGATTATCAAAAAGATTCATCCAAAGTTCCTGGCATTGACCCCCACGTCTGGCCGGTTGGCGAGACTTCCA